AACAGGCAAAGGATGACGTGATGCGTAGTCTGCCTGGTTATTTGATCCGGGTCTGTATTCCACCGTGAAGCGATAATGCTGCAAGTCCATCAGCCATCTTTCGATTCTTGCCGATGGTCTTGATGCTGGATTGTTGAAGAGTGATACCAATGGTTGGTGATCAGTCACAACTGTAAACTCTTTACCGTAGAGGTACAAGTTGAAACGTTTGATTGCCCAATAGATAGACAGTGCTTCTCTGTCGATTTGAGGGTAGCGCGACTCTGTGTCAGAGAGTGGATGGCTTGCAAAATGAAGTGGTTTCACTTCGCCTGTGACAGGATCCTTCTGTGTCAACACCGCGCCAAGCCCAATGGGACTTCCGTCTACGAACAACATGCATGGCTTCTCGGGGTCAAAGTAACTGAGCGTTATGTTTTCAGATAACGCCATTTTGAGCCTGTCAAGAGCTTGTTGTTCGGTTTCACCCCAAGTCCAAGGAAAATCCTTGCACGTGAGTCGACGCAGTGGTTTCGTGATGAGAGCAAAGTCTTTGATGAAACGACTACAAAATGACGCTGAACTCAGAATGCTGCGAACTTCAGAGGCATTTGTTGGTGGTTGGATGGCCTGTAGATCTGCCACCTTCTTTGGATCAGGTGAGATACCATCTGCGCTAAATCGATGACCGAAGAATAGCATGCTAGGCACACCAATCTCACACTTTGATGCATTGATTGTCAGGTTGCAGTCAGACAGACGCTGTAACACTTGTCGTAGGCGCTGATCATGCTCCGAAACATTTCTACCACCAATGTAGATATCGTCGCTGATATTGCGAGCACCTGGGATGCCTTGGATCACATCTCCAATCACTTTTTGGAATATTTCGGCTGAGCACGACATGCCAAAGTTGAGCCTTTTGTACCGGTAAAGCCCAATGTGCGTGGAAAATGCAGTCAAATTCCGAGAATCAGGGTGTAGCATGATTTGATGGTACCCTTGCTGGAGATCAAGTTTGCTGAACAACTTACAGCCATTGAGGTCTGCTGCGATGTCATCAATCGTGGGTATAATGTGGCGTTCACGAATGATAGCACGGTTCACAGATCGCATATCTACACATATGCGTATGTCATCTGGGTTTCTCGGTTTCGGTACAACAACAATCGGCGAGATCCATGGTGTCGGCCCGTTGCATTTCTCAATGATATCTGATTTCTCGAGCTCTTCGATTTTCTTTTCCACCTGTTTCCGAACGTGAAATGGAATTCTGCGATGTGGTTGTGTTACTGGTTTTATGTTCGGGTCAACGTAGACTCTGACAGGATTTCCCATGTATGCACCCATACCTTCTGTCACATTTGGAAATTCTTGTATGATTGACGGCAAAGTCGACTTCTCTGTTGACTTTTTTGGGGTTGACTTCTCACCAGTCGACACGTGTATGTTGTTGGCCACACGAATGAGGTTTAGCTTCTGTGATGTCTTCCAACTGACTAGTGAGCTACTTGGTCCACTCGCAACATAAAATGTCTCTCTACACTCCCTGTCTGAATATTCACAAGCCAGGTCTGCTTCAAATTTCCCCAAAATGTTCAATGGTGATATGGACATATAGGCGTAGATTTTGGTTTTGGATGAAATAAGTTGTGGTTTCGGGTTGAGTTTGTCAAAGTCACACTTGTTCATAATATTCACTGTAGCACCAGAGTCAGCCATGATTCGGATCGGGGAACCAGAAACTGAAATGTCGAAAAATGGTGCGTCAACCAGACTTGTTTTCGATAGCAGGAAGGTGTATTCTTCCCCACTACTTGTTTTGTGTGTAGCGCCAGCTACTGTGTTGTTTGTTTCATCTTCATGATTGACTGATCGAGCAGATTGTCTGTTTCTCCCTGGTGTGTGTTTCCAATTCTCTTGTTTCCAATTTCCTCTCCCACGGCCACGATTGAAATTGCCAGGTTTGCGGGGACTGGAATCTGGTTTAGAACGACACACATGACTGAAATGATTTAATTTTCCACATTTGTGGCATACTTTTCCATGTGCTGGACAGGTGCCATGATGGGGATAGTGTCCTCCACACAATCCACATGTTGTATTTTCCACTGTAACCCTTGGGCGTGGTTTCTGATCTCTCGCTCGGTGTGCAGGCACTTGTTGCTGTGTTTGCTGTGAACTGAACATGAGGTCATTTTCTTTAGCAACTTCCATGGAATGAGCGGTTTTCAAAATACTGTCAAGTGTCAGTGTTTGTTCAATGGCTTTACGTCTGAGTCTGTGATCACGTGTTCCTTGGATGATTTGCCGTTTAATTTCCAGGTTCTCATCATGAAACTCACACCGTTTTGCCAAGATCACTAACCGGGTATAAAATTCACTGACAGTCTCTCCACTTTGTTGCGTTTCCTGACGAAATGAGTAAACAAGCTGATCAATGCATTTCTGCGGTTCAAAATGAGTCTTTAGCGCTTTCATCGCACACAAATAAACGTCCTTCCGGTCCTCAGCGTCCTCTGAAACCGCAGGAACAGTCAGCGTATCGAAAATGTCATTCACATTTTCACCCGAATAATGCAACAACAAAGCCTTTTTACGGTTTGCATCAGTGATGTCCGTGGCGAGGAATAGGTTTTCTAATCGCCTGAGGTACTTTGAGAAACGAGTAGGTGCTGTTTCTCGTGGTTGCAGTTCGAATTCTGCGAACGGGGGTAACGACGCCGCCATTTTATCTACGTACGGTCAACGTTGTGCGAGGGTAGGTGTGAACGAACTATGGAAAAAGTCAATGTTCGTATCGATTCAAACACAAGAAAAGTGTCTCTCACCAGTAATTACCTCTAGGGTATCTGTAGAGGTCGGCCGATAGGCTGCTCGTCGCCAAAATGTGATGTATTGTCATTAACCACGAGAGCACGAGGTGATGATGATTGGTTTTTATTCACTGATCGTACACACCTGACTTCCGGTTTCGGGTAACACTAATACCCGGATTCCATATTGTAGCGGAACACATATTCTGAGTATAATACGGAACGTAAACATTACACACTGGTATTTAAAATATCACTCAATCATCATCAAATAATGCTAGCTGTGAATCAAACATTTTTCTTTAGTCGGACTCTAACCTGTGTCTATACTTAATAAACTTGGAATACAAGCATTAAACCTGTGGTGAATAGAGAGTGAGTGAGTTGGGTTTAACGCCGCTTTTAACAGTATTCCAGTTATATCACAGCGTGTCAGCTTAATGTGGGAGGAAAGCCCGAAGTGATGCAGGTCTCAGACGTTTACCACTTCAGTGAAACCCACGAGCACTGGTATGGTGCTGACAAACCTAGAAACATAATCGGGTTGAACCGGGATTCGAACCCACGATCATAGGTTTCTGGCGTGTCCAAGGGACGGAATAGCGGCGCTTTAGACGACTGGGCCACCCGTGCCCCCCCTGGTGAATAGAGAAGACACTGTACACAGGGCACAATAACCATCTATGAGTTATGCAGTAGTTGTTAATTTGATATCACTTTGTGAATGGTCAGCCCTGAGGTCACAGCTCATAAGTCCTGCACCATGGCTGTGGAACATATTTAGTTTATGAAAACTAAAACGAATCTAGATATATATACAAAAAGCTAGAGATCAGCATCAGGAAAATTATTGTTTTAATTTTAGAGGAGAGAAATGTATTGTGTAATAAAAGATTTCAAAGACTACTTGTTAGTCTAGGGTTAAGTAAAAGGGACCAGTATTTTGCCCAGATACCCCATGGGTTTAAATACACGAAACAACTTGATGTAGTCATGATTACATACAGACAGACAGACATAGATATATATCCTTCTAGTCCTGCACCATGACTGCATCTAGATTTAAATAAAAGCAAGTCTAGCCAGCTATGAAATCAGCATCAGGAAAAATATACGAGAATCTGTACTTTACACTTGGCGGTGTGGGTTTGAATCCCGGACAGGACTCAACCCCAAAAAGTACGAGAATCATGTACTTTACTAAGAAAGTGTTATCCCAAATATAACATTTGTTACATTTGACCACTCTCTAAATGGCATTGTGTGTTCATAGCTTTCGGTCATGGGAGCCGTGCCAATTTACACTTGTTGGAGGGGTACACAAAGTATGTGATCAAGACTACCAGTTGTCGGACTTTCATTTTGTGGAAGCCTCAGTGGCTGAGTGGGTTAGATCACTGACTTTGTGCGCTGGTGATGAGGTGCCTCACTCTGGCAGTGTGGGTTCAAATCTCGGACGGGACTCAACCCAAAAAAGTACAAATCTGCACTTTACTAAGAAAGTGTTATCCCAAATATAACATTTGTTACATTTGACCACTTTCTAAATGGCATTGTGTGTTCAGGAAATGTATTGTGTGAAAAAATGGTTTATTGTGTAATAAAGAATTTTACAGACTATATGTAAGTCTTATATTGGTCTGTAACTTTTTTTTTTTTGAGTAGTATATATGGTGGTTTACTATTGACATAGATATTGAGTCATACTTTCACAAAACCCCAAGCACAACAACCTATGAAATAGTTTATGTTTATTTTAATTTATAATACAGCAGAAATGCTCCGGTTCCATGGGGACATTAAGTAATATTTTCATGTCAACATATCAAAGCAATTAGTCCCATTCAGCCCCGATCTTGACACACATAATATCCCTATAAAGAGTTGGATAGAATATATTAAATATCCATGATACTTGCATCCACAGTGAACACCTTTTGATGCTCTGATCAAGTGGCAAAGAGTGGCTTAACTACCCTACACAGCCATTATTTCAAGTTACATGTGATGAGAATATGATGCTTTTCATTAAACCACATACTCCCCCCTCACAGCATCACTAACTCAAGTCTATATACTTCCACCATAAATCCACAAATCAGCATGCAGGCAATGATTCATGTCATCGTCTGCAAACCAAAACTAAGCATGTTCTATTTCAGGACACCCCGTCCATTTTTTCAAAATAAAATTCTTTTACTACAGAACAGCTGGTTCCATGTCAATCATGACCCCGACCCTCCTGGATGATTACGGAGTGGGCGTGTCCAGCTCCCCATGTGCTTCTCACTTCCTGGTTGTGGCTGCATCTGGAGGGAGCATCCATCTATCTCCCTCCTCACCAGCAGGGTAAGTTGATCGTTCCTTCCTGTCTCAGCCTAGTTAACCCATGGTACGTGCAGAATGTCCTCAAGCTGTGGAGTTTCTCAATATATGCAGCCATTATCAGTCTATGCATGCCTGCCACCAGGACGTCACTCTGCATGCATTGAATGTATGTCCCCAGACATCCCCCCCCCCCCCCCCCCCCACCAGGCAGGCTATTTAGGCCTTGTTATCACTACTTGCCATGAATAGTCACACTGCTGTACTGAGTGAGTGAGTGAGTTGGGATTAATGCAGCTTTGAACAGTATTCCAGCCCTATCACGGTCTGTCAGCTTAATATGGGTCAGAAAAGCCCGAAGTGATGCAGATGTTAGATTTTTACCACTTTGGTAAAACCTACAAGCATGGGTATGGTGCTATCAAGCCCATAAACATAATCAGGGTGAACCAGGATTTGAACCCATACGTTTCTGGCTTGGCCAAGGGATGCAACTCTGCACAACAAATTGCGCCGCCTTCAATGACACCTTGAAAGACTGGGCCACCCGGAAATTTTTTTCTTTAGCTTAAATGAATTATTTTTAACTGCTTTGGAAACTGCAGTGTTTCAGAGTATGGTGGCAATTCTAATCCATATCTTTAGATTCTAAACAGTCTGGTTTTCCGATTGTTTTGTTTTTCAAATTTTACAAAATCCCTATCCCACTGAGTCAACAGGAAACCCCATGAGGGAGTTGGTGCACATTATCACTGTGCCAGCTGGTCCATAGCTATGGTTCACCATCCTAACAGGAAGCCATCTTCACATGGTCTGACATTACCCACAGGAACTGTGTCACCTGATGGTACAGCAATGACACACAACAACCGCCACAAGCTAGAAATCATTCACTTGCTGTCAAGACAATATTGCTTTTGAAAAGAAGCATCTCTAAGCATGATCATGATCACTATCATTAAATAATTACATACAGGTTATCAGATCTTCTTCTTCTTCAATGTAACCTGCAACTCTAGGAGGAGGGTAATCCATCCAGTCTATTCAAGTAATGCTATATTTTGTTGTGTTTAACCCCTTATTTGACATGTTTTCTCAAAGCAAAATCCTAGGAAATTATATGTCTCAAAATAAACAGAAGGAACACCTGACCTTTCATCTACTGTGCTACAGCCTACTGTCCACTGTGTTACTGTTACTATCAGCCCTACATGACAAACACTTCACCTGGGTTACTAGATCTACTATCTGGGTTCAGCCCTACATGACATAAACACTTCACCTGGGTTATTAGATCTACTATCTGGGGTCAGCCCTACATGACAAACACTTCACCTGGGTTACTAGATCTACTATCTGGGTTCAGCCCTACATGACATAAACACTTCACCTGGGTTATTAGATCTACTATCTGGGGTCAGCCCTATATGACAAACACTTCACCTGGGTTATTAGATCTACTATCTGGGTTCAGCCCTACATGACAAACACTTCACCTGGGTTATTAGATCTACTATCTGGGTTCAGCCCTTCATGACAAACACTTCACCTGGGTTATTAGATCTACTATCTGGGTTCAGCCCTACATGACAAACACTTCACCTGGGTTATTAGATCTACTATCTGGAGTCAGCCCTACATGACATAAACACTTCACCTGGGTTATTAGATCTACTATCTGGAGTCAGCGCTACATGACAAACACTTCACCTGGGTTACTAGATCTACTATCTGGGTTCAGCCCTACATGACATAAACACTTCACCTGGGTTATTAGATCTACTATCTGGGGTCAGCCCTACATGACATAAACACTTCACCTGGGTTATTAGATCTACTATCTGGAGTCAGCCCTACATGACAAACACTTCACCTGGGTTACTAGATCTACTATCTGGGTTCAGCCCTACATGACATAAACACTTCACCTGGGTTATTAGATCTACTATCTGGGGTCAGCCCTACATGACAAACACTTCACCTGGGTTATTAGATCTACTGTCTGGGGTCAGCCCTATATGACAAACACTTCACCTGGGTTATTAGATCTACTATCTGGGGTCAGCCCTACATGACAAACACTTCACCTGGGTTATTAGATCTACTATCTGGGTTCAGCCCTATATGACATAAACACTTCACCCTGGTTATTAGATCTACTATCTGGGGTCAGCCCTATATGACAAACACTTCACCTGGGTTATTAGATCTACTATCTGGGGTCAGCCCTACATGACAAACACTTCACCTGGGTTACTAGATCTACTATCTGGGTTCAGCCCTACATGACATAAACACTTCACCTGGGTTATTAGATCTACTATCTGGGGTCAGCCCTATATGACAAACACTTCACCTGGGTTATTAGATCTACTATCTGGGTTCAGCCCTACATGACAAACACTTCACCTGGGTTATTAGATCTACTATCTGGGTTCAGCCCTTCATGACAAACACTTCACCTGGGTTATTAGATCTACTATCTGGGTTCAGCCCTACATGACAAACACTTCACCTGGGTTATTAGATCTACTATCTGGAGTCAGCCCTACATGACATAAACACTTCACCTGGGTTATTAGATCTACTATCTGGAGTCAGCGCTACATGACAAACACTTCACCTGGGTTACTAGATCTACTATCTGGGTTCAGCCCTACATGACATAAACACTTCACCTGGGTTATTAGATCTACTATCTGGGGTCAGCCCTACATGACATAAACACTTCACCTGGGTTATTAGATCTACTATCTGGAGTCAGCCCTACATGACAAACACTTCACCTGGGTTACTAGATCTACTATCTGGGTTCAGCCCTACATGACATAAACACTTCACCTGGGTTATTAGATCTACTATCTGGGGTCAGCCCTACATGACAAACACTTCACCTGGGTTATTAGATCTACTGTCTGGGGTCAGCCCTATATGACAAACACTTCACCTGGGTTATTAGATCTACTATCTGGGGTCAGCCCTACATGACAAACACTTCACCTGGGTTATTAGATCTACTATCTGGGTTCAGCCCTATATGACATAAACACTTCACCCTGGTTATTAGATCTACTATCTGGGGTCAGCCCTATATGACAAACACTTCACCTGGGTTATTAGATCTACTATCTGGGGTCAGCCCTACATGACAAACACTTCACCTGGGTTACTAGATCTACTATCTGGGTTCAGCCCTACATGACAAACACTTCACCTGGGCTATTAGATCTACTATCTGGGGTCAGCCCTACATGACAAACACTTCACCTGGGTTACTAGATCTACTATCTGGAGTCAGCCCTACATGACAAACACTTCACCTGGGTTACTAGATCTACTATGTACATGACACTTCACCTGGGTTACTAGATCTACTATGTACATGACACTTAAACTTGGTTATTAGATCTACTATCTGGGGTCAGCCTTACATGACAAACACTTCACCTGGGTTACTAGATCTACTATGTACATGACACTTCACCTGGGTTACTAGATCTACTATCTGGGTTCAGCCCTACATGACATAAACACTTCACCTGGGTTATTAGATCTACTATCTGGGGTCAGCCCTACATGACATAAACACTTCACCTGGGTTATTAGATCTACTATCTGGAGTCAGCCCTACATGACAAACACTTCACCTGGGTTACTAGATCTACTATCTGGGTTCAGCCCTACATGACATAAACACTTCACCTGGGTTATTAGATCTACTATCTGGGGTCAGCCCTACATGACAAACACTTCACCTGGGTTATTAGATCTACTGTCTGGGGTCAGCCCTATATGACAAACACTTCACCTGGGTTATTAGATCTACTATCTGGGGTCAGCCCTACATGACAAACACTTCACCTGGGTTATTAGATCTACTATCTGGGTTCAGCCCTATATGACATAAACACTTCACCCTGGTTATTAGATCTACTATCTGGGGTCAGCCCTATATGACAAACACTTCACCTGGGTTATTAGATCTACTATCTGGGGTCAGCCCTACATGACAAACACTTCACCTGGGTTACTAGATCTACTATCTGGGTTCAGCCCTACATGACAAACACTTCACCTGGGCTATTAGATCTACTATCTGGGGTCAGCCCTACATGACAAACACTTCACCTGGGTTACTAGATCTACTATCTGGAGTCAGCCCTACATGACAAACACTTCACCTGGGTTACTAGATCTACTATGTACATGACACTTCACCTGGGTTACTAGATCTACTATCTGGGGTCAGCCCTACATGACAAACGCTTCACCTGGGTTACTAGATCTACTATGTACATGACACTCCAGCTGGGTTTCTAGATCTCCTATGTACATGACACTTCACCTGGGTTATTAGATCTACTATCTGGAGTCAGCCCTACATGACAAACACTTCACCTGGGTTACTATATCTACTATGTACATGACACTTAAACTTGGTCATTAGATCTACTATCTGGAGTCAGCCCTACATGACAAACACTTCACCTGGGTTATTAGATCTACTATCTGGGGTCAGCCCTATATGACAAACACTTCACCTGGGTTATTAGATCTACTATCTGGGGTCAGCCCTACATGACAAACACCTTAGCTGGGTTACTAGATCTACTATGTACATGACACTTCACTTGGGTTACACACAGCAGGGTCTGCTATTTTAAATGGAGTTTACATGAATAACATCTTATCAAATAAAAAGAATGAGAGATAGAAAATATCTCCTAACAAACTTCTAATATGCCATCTTGATGCCCTCACAATCAGAAAAACAAAAACATCCCACATATCTACACATCATACTATAAGCTTCACTTGTGTGATATTAAATCACAAATGCAAGCAATTTCTACAAAATAATGAATAAAAAAAATACACTAAGAGGCAAACATGATACAATGCATGACAATAAACAGGAAAAGATTACCAGGGTTTAAAATTTCTTTTGACAAAGCTAGGAAAACTCCCCATAAAAGCATCTGAACACGAATCAGGCCCGTCAAGAGTGACAACCAAGCTGCACTATCACCATGTGTACTCTGCTCTACAGTTCACAATACAAGTTTCCACATTATTTTCCAATGTCCCTTTCAAAATAGCAGGCATAAGCCTGGCAGCCAGCAACAGTTGTCAAGGACATAAACGGGCTAGCTGTCATCAACTGGCAGTCAAGTATATAAGTTCAGAAACCCAATCTTCCTGCTGGGGCTAATGTGTTTCCATATGCTCACTTAGCACAGGGGCAGCACTCCAGGACAAAGAAACACTCACTCAACATGTAGTGTCGTTGCCTTTGTTGTAAACATTGTTCCAGCAAAGTTCACACACATCAGTTATGAAAAACATGTGTAGTCCTAACTAATACCCATATCAAACTCTAAAAAAGCATTGACACTATTTGTCTCATAGTTGCACAGTACATACACAATCCATCGATTACAACAGCATATGTACAATTTTAAATTATTGTCAATCATTGTCTGATTATACAGTAGTATTGTACAAAATATTTTTTGCGATCAGCAATTCAGCATACACTACAATAACCCATCAATCACTGTAGAGCAGTATGCTGATTTAGTGACAGAGACCGGGCAGTGTAAACAGGGCTTCACACAAAGGAAGTCAAATTCATCCAATAACAAAACCAGTGACTACGCATGAAAGTATTTAGCAATAATTTGTACCATATACATAATAACCCAATTTTCCAAATGTCACCGACCCGCTATGAACAAAGAAGTGAATATTACAAGCATAAAGAGATGATCGAGGCTTATACCCTGCACGGCACACCTACAACACATCAATAGGATTAATAGGTTAGCAAGCCACTAGCAGTGGTTGACAGGAGTTAACTCACTCGCACTTTCATTTCCCATTGTACAGTGACCACATAGTGCTCCTGCGTTGGTTCAAGCAAATCTCCCAGACTCCGTGCACCCAGTAGCTGTGGCTTATTCCGAGTTATACGCTGGTCACACCCTCGTCTGTACACAGCCAGGAGAACAGCTGGAGAACTGGGCAGCAGTGGAAACTAAGTGAGTCATTTTGACATTTTGTCTGTCTCTATAATACATCCCGGTCTTGTAATATAGACTCGGAGGATCTCCAGGTTAGCCCATCCTACACACAAGACTTGGCACACAGCTGAAGGTCTGAATGTCAGTGTGTTCCAGTGTCCCGGATTAAAGGAACTGTCAATTGATATGGTAATCTGCAACAGTTGTCATCAATATACACTGTGTCACATGCTTTCTCGAGGACTCGTTCACAACCGCTACTCCATACTTGGTGGATAACTGTCGTATCAGCCACTCCACACTGTACAACGCTACATACTTGCACACATGTATAACAAGGCACACTCGCCCATATGTATAACACACATGCCAACCTGCAGAAATATAATTGTTTCCATACCATTTGGATAACCATGAGCAATAATTCACATATTTGATGGAAATTATTTAAAAATAATAATTGTAAATGGTGCGTGACCTGGCTTTCAAATATGCATATGTCAGCTATATTGATCTTTTGTTGACTATGATCCAAGTTGCTCGTAAAAAGTGTAGGAGGCATGAATAACTGTTGTTGGTAGGTTGAGGCAGGTGCCCTGGACTATGTAACACAATCAGGTGAACGGGCAACTATATATACATGTAACATGCTTTTAGGAGGCAATGGTACCTCTTTAGCTCCAACTGAGTAATTACTTACACTAACAGTAATTTGAGTTTTTTACGGAGTTGTCTGATTCAGAAATGTCTGAACACATACCTACATTCACTTCCTTTTGAAAGAAAAGACTTTAGATTTATTACCTGTTGGTATGGATATATATCCATTATCTCTGCAGCTGTCTGGATAAATTTAATACCAGTAAGGATATATCCTATATATCTGCCCTATCTTCATAGATTTATTTATGGTTAGGATATAACGACATATTTACCTCTGTCTTGATAGCTTTATTACTAGCAAGCATATATCTATATACATGATATATCTGCACCTATCTTGATAGATTCATTACTGGTAAGGATATACGATATATATACACCTATCTTCACAGATATATTACTGGTAAGGATATAATGACATATTTATTTACACCTATCTTGATAGATTTATTACTAGCAAGCATATATCCATACATCTGCACCTGTCTTCATAGATTTATTACTGGTAAGGATAAAACGATATATTTACACTTATCTTAAAATGTTATCAGTAAGCGGTGTTAGAAATTGGCACTAGTCCTGTAGTCCTTGCCAAACTGCCCAATGGTTATGGTATCATAAGGACTAGTAGAAATTTTCCATTTTTTTAAGGGTTTTGCTATATAGACTAGTGAACTAAAAATGTTAGTTTCTACCGCTGGTAAGCATGGTAAGAATATATCCATACTATGAATTCAGTGTGGAGAACTGAGAGCCATTCATATGTTCCTTAAAGACAATGCTTGCAATATTAAAAAAGCAACTGAATATGAATTTGTCTGTTAAACTGCCATCTTTTCATCAATATCACAACAGATACCACATGCCCTTGGACATAGTTTGGTCAACTTAATAAGCATGATATTTTTTGCAATAAGTTGATAACTACAAGCTCATCTTCAGCCAATCAAAGAACACATCGCCTTGTTCATGTGCATGTACTTGACATGAATCAGGGTGTGAGAAGTTAACGCCATTCTGCACATCTTGGTCAAATATAAGATGAGGTTTCCATATTCCAAACAAACTTCAACCTCAGCCAATCAGATCGCAGATACCATTAACTCCCAAAGTTGTTCCATAATGCCTGACAGAGCCTGTCCCAGGTGTAGGAGTGTTAGACATCGCACAGCTTCTCCAACACTGTTACACTGTTACAGATGCATGGAGGGAAACCAGTGCTTCATGGGCAATATCATCCACACACTGCATCCTCCAGTACATTATCATCAGTTTTGAGTACTAAAAAGCCTAACTGTAAAATGTTTTCTCTTTAACAACCTTATGAAGCTAGTGGATTTTCTGTGCATCAAAACAAAACAATATATTGGACTTTCTGTTCCAATAAAGTATGATTCATTTTAATGGAAGCAAAATACATTTTACAAGGAAAAAAGTCCTTGCACAGGGATTTATCTAGATCTGCTCTGTCAGGCTGATAATTTGGCCCCAGGTCTGAAGAAATTGTCAGAAAAAGATCCCAAATTGGAAATTTTATTGCCAAGGTATGTTATAATAGTAATAACTAACGTTATTGCTTTTGCAGAGGTGCCCTGCATTTCCCTGATAACAGGCCAATATACAAGAAGAGGTTTTCATGTTAAGTTTTGCCATTTTTGCATTGAATGAAATATGAAATATCCCTGAATTTAATACGAATCTGATTTTTTTCCAATTTTGTCTGCCAAGGGCGCTTAGTTTGGAAACCTAGATACATGTATGTCTTTTGCATCCTTGGCATGCTTGGTTGTTAAATGTTCGGAAGATCAGGAATTTTGGCAAAGTTTGTGTGTAATTAACACCCTGCAGTATTTACATATACATACAGTTCCCTCAGTTCGGAACAAGTCTGAACCTTGTCAACTCTTTTTTAATACAAAACCTAATGTATAAACTTTTATTTTCTGCCTCCAACATTACATCTAATCAAGGGCAGTACCAAAAGTTTAAAGCATTTGTTGGCAATCTGTCGCCAGGGCTTGTGATGTACACAAATGTCATTAATGACACGCTTCTCCACACAGACAGTATGTGCAGCCAACAGTGAATCATTGCACCTACATCTAATATATATTAATGTGGATGTATATTTTCACCTACTTTGACAGCTGTGACATACAAGTGCACTTTGTTTTCAGGGGCATCCAGCATCAACCATCATGGCGGCGAGATCAGAAACCACTGACAGCCAAACTCAATGTGTCAGTATATAAAAGGTCCGGTGATGACAGTCAACCTCAAATTCCTGTCATCATGGCAGCCAACACAACCCTTCTGTGTGACCATGACAGTCAACACAACCCTCCTGTGTTACCATGACAGTCAACTAAACCCTCCTGTGTCACCATGGCAGTCAACCCAACTCTCCTGTGTCACCATGACAGTCAACACAACCCTCCTGTGTTACCATGACCGTCAACCCAACTCTCCTGTGTCACCATGACTGTCAACCCAACTCTCCTGTGTCACCATGACAGTCAACTAAACCCTCCTGTGTCACCATGGCAGTCAACCCAACTCTCCTGTGTCACCATGACAGTCAACACAACCCTCCTGTGTCACCATGACTGTCAACCCAACTCTCCTGTGTCACCATGACAGTCAACCCAACTCTCCTGTGTCACCATGACAGTCAACTAAACCCTCCTGTGTCACCATGGCAGTCAACCCAACTCTCCTGTGTCACCATGACAGTCAACACAACCCTCCTGTGTCACCATGACTGTCAACCCAACTCTCCTGTGTCACCATGACAGTCAACCCAACCTTCTTGTGTCACCAAGACAGTCAACCCAACCCTCCTATGTAACCATGGCAGTGAACCCAACTCTCCTGTCACCATGACAGTCAACCCAACCCTCCTGTGTTACCATGACAGTCAACACAACCTTCCTGTGTCACCATGACAGTCAACACAACCCTCCTGTGTCACCATGACAGTCAACACAACCCTCCTGTGTCACCATGACAGTCAACACAACCCTCCTGTGTTACCATGACAGTCAACACAACCCTCCTGTGTCACCATGACAGTCAACACAACCCTCCTGTGTCACCATGACAGTCAACACAACTCTCCTGTGTTACCATGACAGTCAACACAACCCTCCTGTGTCACCATGACAGTAAACACAACCCTCCTGTGTTACCATGACAGTCAACACAACCCTCCTGTGTCACCATGGCAGTCAACACAACCCTCCTGTGTCACCATGACAGTCAACACAACCCTCCTGTGTCACCAGTCACAGGTAGGTAAATACATAATTTTTGAATCGGGGAACAATGACAATGTACTAAGCCAGTCAATGAGCCTCACACCCGATACCCATCCTAGTCAGCGGCAACCACAAACATTCTCACCTGGAATCCCACAGGCCCCTGTTTGACTACATGCTTAAGATAACTGTTTGCCAAAGACAGAGACAGGGCTTGTATTTGTTTCCAGAACCACACGCCAAACCTCATGAAATCCAAAACAACAGAAGCCACTGCAAGCATGAAGTCAGAGAAAGCAGTAGTGAAACACACAAACTTCTACGAAGAAATTACTTGTTTTAGAGATACACATGTCATGCTTGTATTATGCTATCAAGCTAAGGAGCAATGGGTTAGCCTCGTGGTTTAAGTGTTAGCTTGTCAAGCCAAGACCTGGGTTCGATTCCCCACATGGATTCAACGTGTGAAGCCAAATGCCCAGTGTCCTCCACTGTGAGTATTGCTTGAATATTGCATAAGTCGGCGTAAAACTGTACTCACTTGCTATGCCCCGAAGTACGAACCTGTGTCTCAAAATGTCAGGTTACAAAGGGGTGTCAGAATAGTCAGTATTTAGGGAGTAGTTTTTTGTACTTATGTCAAATCCAGACTTCCAAAAACTTAAACATAACAGAAACATCACAAAAAAAAATAATTTGTGAATCGACTCTGAAGACAATTGTTTTGGTCTTTAGCCTGATAGAATTTTTTTACTGGCATTTGCAGTAACTATTTATACCTCTGTCATGTCTATTATGTCAATAACCTGGATTAATATCTTCACAACAACCACTTGGGCACTGCAGAAACCTATGATCGCGGGTTCGAAACCAGGCTCACCCAAATTATGTTCTAGGTATGTCAGCACCATACCGGTGCTCGTTGGTTTCACGAAAGAGGTAAACATCTCAGACCTGCATCATTTCAGGCTTTCCTCCCACATTAAGCTCTAGAATACTGTTGAAAGTGGCCTCAAACTCACTCACTATTTAGTATTTCATGCAATTTTGTTTACATTATTTATGGCGTAATCGCATATGAACTAATTGGCAAATCACATCAACTCACCATGAACTTGCCTTGAAATGAACATTAGTCGTTACTGATACAAAGTCTTTGGTCTTCCTATCACTGTATTGAAATTTCTTTTCAGTTATGATATTGGCCATGACATTAAGCATTTTTAAAACTAAATCACCGATAGATTGGCGAGAAAATGTGTGAACAGCTGATTGCTATTTCCGGCTTATTTTACAAGACAAATACTCATGTAATCTAAATCTCTGCCTATGAAAGATTGTTCTGCATAGAGTACACAAATACCACCGAATTTGTAAATCATTATGTCTAGTGATGTCTCTTAATGTTTAGCGAAAATTTCATGTTTTCATTGACCAAATTTGAAAACAGTTTCAATTGATTGCCGTCAATCGAGATGTGCTGAAAGCAGTGTGAATGTAAAAGGGAAGTAACTGCACACTATATTGGATCGCATTGTTTTTAAGTATTGTAGCATTTCAATGGCGGGGTCGTGTGTTCAAGACGCGGAATATTTAAGGATTTTTTTGGGGGGGGAGGGAATGGAAATTCCGTTTTTTGTGAACCAAGACTTTTTTTAGCCTAACCTAACTGTAGAATAAGAAGGAAAGAAAATTGGTGTACATTTGATAGTGCAAAGTGACACACATTCACAGATAACTATGAAGTAATAAAGGAAATCACTCAAAAACAGTAAAAGATAATTAAAGCAGCGTTAGAAACTAACAGTTGTAGTCCACTAGTCCATTTAATGATAACATATAGCAAAACCCTTAAAAAGGGCAAATGTCTGCTGGTCCTTATGATAGCTTGGCAAGGACTATGGGACTAGTGCCAATTTCTAATGCTGTAAAGGATATTAAACAAGCTTCCTGTTTCATATCACATTTATTTCCTGAGTGGAATAATGTTTATTTCAAAATGGGACACACACTTGATACTAAGCCGAAACAGCCGATGTGTCATCATAACGACAACATGCGTATGAATACAACATGTACAGCATGTGCTAAATATAAACATAGAGCCGCATCACTTCCGGCATACAATAACCATCCCTTTCTACAATATACTGGAAATTTGAGCTGATGGAACTTTTGTCATTACATAATCACCTTCAGTTTCCTATTTGTGATTAAACATCTTCCATCAATATACATTGAGTGAGTGAGTATGGTCTTACGCTGCTGTTAGCAACATTCCAGCAATATCACGGCGGGGACAGCACAAATGGGCTTCACACACTGTACCCATGTGGGGAATCAAACCTGGGTCTTCAGCATGACGAGCAAACAGTTTAACCACTAGGCTACCCCACCTTCACCAATGTACACTGATGAAACAGCACATTATGTTTTGTATACTCTGATTCAGTTGGTATTACAAACTCATCAGTATTGGTAAGTTACCTTTATCCTGCTTGACCTGTGAAGATTCCGGGGTAGAATAGGTCTTCAGCAACCCATGCTTGCCGTAAAAGGTGACTATGCTTGTCATAAAAGGCGACTATGCTTGTCGTAAAAGGCAACTAACAGGTTTGGGTGGTCAGGCTCGCTGACTTGGTTGATGCACGTCATTGATCCCAAATGCGTGGATTAATGCTCATGATATCAATCACTGGATTGTCTGGTCGATTATTTACAGACCGCCGTCATATAGGTAGAATATTGCTGAGTGCGGCATTAAACGACAAACCAATCAAAACAATCAACACAAATATTTCCGATTTTCAAGTGAAAAAAACATCAGTTAAAACTAGAGTCAGTAAGTACAATTTGTTATCCGAGACCTAGTTAAAATTCTGCTCACATCTGCCCATCTGGTCTGCCTAAAACCACACAAAGTACAGTAGGTCAGTGTTTCTATTTATGTATTTACGTATTCCTATTATAAGTATGGATTATCAAGGGCCTGATTGATTCTCTCTGTTCAGACAGCAGGTGTTTCTAAATTGAAGCGTATTGACGTATCTAGACCTAGAGAATAACATTTTATATGAAACGTGTACGTAATTGACGACACATTAATGAACCTATGCAAATGTGGCATTTGATTGGCTGACTAAGTAGGTTGTTTTTGAGTGTATATGTTTCCATAAACAGAAAACAATAGGCCACACCCACTAATGGACTACGGTTTCCTGATTGGCTGAAAATAGTGTAGACAGGACTTTTGTCGCCTTATTGCACTGAATGTCACTGATTTCATATCATTATCTACAGCTTTTGTGTTATGATTAAATAAGTTATTGTTGTTGATTTGTATATTTAAAAGAATTAACTTCAAAATATTTCTGTGTTGATGGAGTTTATGCAAATTAACAGTGTTTACATCCTTAAAAGAAAAAAACTGAAGTCAATTCTAAGTTATTATTGTAAACAAACCACGAATGAGTGAATCAATCAGTGTAGCACCAGAAAGGCCAAATTTCATGTATCAGCCAATCAGATTCCATGGAAGAGTAAGGACAAAAGTTGGTTTTGTTACATGTTTACATAGTAATAATTGATAGTACTTTTACAAATATTTCACAACATAAAAAAACATTCGTCTAGAAGTAAACATCATAAACTCTTGTTTGTTTGCACATCTTTGAGCAAATGGATAAAAATCATAGTGCAGTGACATTCCATTGATGACATCTTATAGCGGTATGATGTCACACAACATGGATATGTGACGTCATAGTTAAAAAAATGTCACATTGCTGCTACCATTCACGTGACCTCAGTGTTCCCGCTTGTTTTTGAAACTGCCAGTTCTTGAGGACTGTTATCTCTAACACTTACCAGTCCCCCCTAATTTTTGCCAGTCCCAACTTTCAACAAATAAAAAAATGTATGAAAATTATGGTTTCTTCTTTCAACATCATGTTCAGTACAATGATGTCATGTCTGAAGTAACTTAGTTAGATCTATACGCCATTCACACGAACTTCAGTCACAATTTTCTCTTCTTTTTTTTATATATATTTCCAGACGTCATTACAAATGGATATTTAACCTAGAAATAGACACAGGGAAACCCTGATGGTAACAGACTTGAATATCACTGATGTTTTGTTCAACAACAAAGATTTATAAGGTACTTTATTTGCCCGTCCACAGGGACTGGCAGTCACATGAATTACCGGTCCAAGCCTTATTTTACCGGTATAAAACTGGTAATTACCGGTAAATGGGAACGCTGGACCTGTCGTAAAGTGGAACCTTATTCACCCTTTCTATTGTCTATGGTTCATATTTGACAGTTTGACTTCGAGTCTGTGATTCTCAGCTTCATCTCTTCGTCCTGGCAATAGACAGACCTAAAGCATGTTGCTCACGATTATGACAGTGAAACACAAAACTATATCAGCAGGCATCCATAATTGTACACTGTTGTTAAGAATGCCAGAGAGTCATGACAGCTGGGCCCAGTTAAAACATGATCCTCAATAACAGAATACCAGTGTTAGAAATTGGCACTAGTCCTGTAGTCCTAGCCAGTCTGCCTAATAGTTAACATGGATATCATAAGGACTAGTAGAAATTTGCTATTTTTAAGGGTTATGCTAGTGGACTAAAAATGTAAGTTTCTACTCCTGGAATACAGTGAGTTCCCTGTCTACACAGTATGACACATGGTCCTACTCAGTGTTCACATCAATGAGAAAGTTTTCATGTCAATGGGCACGTGTTCACATCAACATGATCAAAGAGAAAGTGTTCACATCAATGAGAAAGTTTTCATGTCAACATGATCAAAGAGAAAGTGTTGATGTCAATGGGCAAGTGCAGAGCTCCAGATAAGCTTTGGTGTTGTGGGTATTTTACCCATGCATTTTAAAATCATTGGGTATCAGTAATTCTATCTGGGTATTTAAATTTCTGTTACCCACTAGTTTTTACACATGTGGGTATTTAAGTTAAATATTTTAAAACACTATTCATCTAGTCCCTGCAAACTGGTGTCGTGTGGGTTCGAGAGCTTTATAGGAATAAAAAATACCACGATACTTCAACAAGAAAGTGTGATGGCAAATGATCATGATGTAACTGTCATCGTGGAGTTTGGCAAGGTTGACGGAATGCCCGTTTATAATTTCAAAATAAGTTGCTGATTTGCTAATCGAATACGCAGGATTACTTCACAATATTTTGATGATACACACAAGTTTTATTTTTGTAGCGTATCTGTAATGTTTGTTGCGTATTTGATACACTTGGATTTTATTTTATTTCTGCATTTCTGATGCGATTATAGAATTCTGGCACCACTAAGGGACATAACCTTGCAAAGCAAATTGTGTCGGGAATGACAACGGAGCCGTCTGAGTCTCCAAAAGCATCACAAGATTGGTGTCTTTCCTTGAGAGCTGTGAATGTCACAGGAATAGCTTCCAATGTTCTTACTTCTGTCTGACAGGGGAAGATACAAAGCAGATCTTAGACTTCTGGAGGCCGATTCTTGTCCTCCATTATATGCATAGCCTCCATTAGCATAGCCTCAACAAATAGTGCAAACAAAGTTGACAATGTTTGTGTGGATGAGAGCAGCTCCTAAAACCACTGCCACAACATCCGAGAAGGTTTACCAGTGATTGTAACACTAGGGCGAGGACTGTCCTAAACTACCCATCCTTCATCCAGAGCCATAAGGATCCAACTGCACAACAAATCTACACAGGGATTTAGCATGAATTCTGAACTCTCATCTGCCCGAGGCAAGAGAGTTAACTGACTATAAAAGTTTCCATCCTAGCGGAACTAGCCTGGTATTATGGACTTACATTTTGCCTGGACTAACGAGTTTATGCATAGGCCAATCAAAATCGCACAACGAAATCAAAATCCAGTTCGTAAACTGTCATGCAGATTTCGGTCGATTGCAGGATTTGCAAAGCATGTGCACTGCTAACTCGTGGCAACAGATCTTTTCCAAATCTTTCCTTGTTTTTAATCAAGGTGCTCACGTGATCTGATGCAATTTGCGATGTAAGACCCGTTTTATCACAATATAGATATTGATTATCGATCAGATCGTCTTGACTGGGTGCCGCCATTTTGTTTGAATCAAATGCAAGTGATACGAGAGCTGGAATCTCATTGGTCCATAGGAGAGGTTTAGAAGGGACATAACTCGTAATAACCACTGGTGGCGCAACGATCAAGCCCAGGAATTCCAGCCTAGTTCGGCAGTTAACTCTCTTGCCTCGGGAAGATGCCATACTATGTGCCCTTGGCAGGCAAATTTGGAAAAATATCAGTTTCCGTTCTTATTTTCTCAGTTTCACAGGCGTTTCAACATTGTCATTTAACACTGCATTCAATGCAACAATGTAAAAGAAAGCATTTCATGTTCTTCCTCTTTATTAGTCCAGTTAGCAGCGAAGTGTCCGTCACCTCCATCAAACTGCCACATTAGTTGCAACTATCATTTGCATGAATTGGGAAGTATTTAATATCCATTTGGGAATTACCATTGACTTTAGCTGCAGACTTCCGGCTAAGTAAAGCCCTCTAAGCCAGTCTAGATAAATCCCTGCAATATCCACTTTAAATCTTAGCGAAACAAAGAGGGATTTGTGGATGGTCTGATAATAATCATTGTGATCAACTGACAGTGTTAAAAAATGAATGACACAGTAGCCACGGTCTGTCATGTCTAGGTTTTTTTCCAGTCAAAATGAGTATTATTTTGTAGGTACCAAGAAGAATAGCCTGTGTAAGCTGGACGAGATGGAAGGGAACTCTACCACTCAATCCTCTCATCCTAAAACCATGTCAGTGACAAGATGCAAAGAGTTGTCTCCCTTACCTGGCCCAGCAGCTCCCTGCACAAGAGGATCAAACTTGACAAACAGAGACTCACGGCCCAGATCCGACTCTTTACACTGGAGAAGAAGAGAAGCCAGGTTAATAACCCTAAGTAGCTCTAGCTAGTGTTTCAGCGGAAGTAGTAACCCCTATTAAGTAGCATACGTGTGCATTTTATGTTAGTAGTATCATTTCTAACAACTGTTTTGTAGAGTACAATAATTGAGCAAAAATATTCTAATGGTAGTAGTAGCAGTAACAGTAGTAGTAGTAGTAGTAGTTTGTGCAATATTCCAGGTATATGATGGCTGTCTGTTAATAATCAAGTCTGGACCAGACAATCCAGCGATTGACATCATGAGCATTGATCAATGCAATTGGGAAAGTTGCCTCTTACGAGAAACACGGTCACCTCTTATCGCAAGCATGGGTTGCTGAAGACCTATTCTAACCTGGATCATCACGGGGTAGTAGTAGTAGTAGTAGTAGTAGTAGTAGTAGTAGTAGTAGTAGTAACAACTATCGTTGTATTAATATTGCTTACCGCATCTCCGCCAAACTTATCCAGCATTTCCCAGGTTGCCTTGTCACTAAACACTGAAACAGAAAAACAAACGATAAAAAAAACCCATAGAAGGTATGTTAACATACAATCTTGACTAATAGCTCTCATACATAACTTATCCATCTCTATTGCAGTCAGTGAGACTCGTAGTACTGGCAGCAGTATCATGGCGGGTACAGTGCGTGTGGATGGGCAGACTTGAACACAAACTCACCATCAGATGCAGGAACAAAGCCTTCATTGTCACACTCCGGCATCTCCCCATCTTCCCCTGCACCAAAGTCATGGACCATCTCCAGGCTATCAGCCATCTGATTGGCTGCTTCTTTGTCATGTGACTTCAGACCCTGCACAACAGGCAGCTGTTTGGCTACTTCTTTGTCATGTGACTGCAGATCCTCCTCTACAGGCAGCTGATTGGCTGGCGGTGGATCAGAAGGTGAGTCAGTCGCTGGTTCAGTAGTGTAAGCTGCTTTCATTGCTGGAGCAAAGATCTCAACATCGTCTCCGGTATTCTGAATACAAAAAACTTCACATGTCAAACAATTGGACAAAATAGCTGTATCATAAATATGTTGAGTACTGACAAATGATTGCTGTATATCACTCAACATGAATATCTGATGTTATTTTGTAATGAACCCTCTACGAACATTTCTGAGTGAGATGAATATATGATGCGAACCCACAAGCATGAGTATGGTGCTGACAGACCTTCAGTCATTATTTGGGCATATTATTCGAACCAGATAAGACATGAAACTCTGCACGGGTAGGTGCAGAGCTCCAGATAAGCTTTTAGTGTTGTGGGTATTTTACTCATGCATTTTAAAATCATTGGGTATCAGTAATTCTATCTGGGTATTCAAATTTCTGTTACCCACTAGTTATTACACACGTGGGTATTTAAGTTAAATATTTTAAAACACTATTCATCTAGTCCCTGCAAATTGGTGTTGTGTGGGTTCGAGAGCTTTAGAGGACTCAAAAATACCACGATACTTCCACGAGAAAGTGTGATGGCAAATGATCATGATGTAACTGTCATCGTGGAGTTTGGCAAGGTTGACCGAATGTCTGTTTATAATTTCAAAATAAGTTGCTGATTTGCTAATCGAATACGCAGGGTTACTTAACACTATTTGGATGATACGCACAAGTTTTATTTTTGTAGCGTATCAGTAATGTTTGTTGCGTATTTGATACGCTTGGATTTTATTTTACTGCTTATTTCTGCATTTTTTATGCGTATTGCACGCAGATACGCAGCTTATCTGGAGCACTGTAGGTGGCAACCTGTAGATCATACAAAGATACATTCCATTTAAATAAGGGTTAACTTACTTTCTAGGAGCAATATCAGACATTTATTGTTCATAAAATTGCTGGAATATTGCTAAAACCAATATAATACACTCCCTCACTAACAGCTACTGACCTGAACACCAAAGTTTTGAGGTGGCTTCAGTCTTGATTTCGGCTTTTTCAATGTCTTCTTCACTCCTGGCTTTTTCCTAAACAAAAAGACAACAATCACGTTTCTGTATTTCTTAATGTCAAAGAGGTAAAAGCTTCAATACAGGTCTCATAGACTTGATCACTTCTGATTCGTGTGTTTTCTCCTCTTAATTTCATGTGTGTACACGTGATGACACGTTCAAATGAATGATTTTCTTCCCAGTTATCAAACATGTCAAGAAGAGTGAGTGGGTGAAAAGTCAAAGAAGTCCCAGCGGCGTTCAGACTGGAGGTTGGTATCATTCTATTCAGAACTTGAAAATTATCTCACAATCAAAATCACCCCATGATCTACTGCATTTAGCAATCTCTGTCAGGTCCATGCTTGCCGTAAAAGGTGACTATGCTTGTTGTAAAAGGCGACAAACAGGATCGGGTGGTCAGGCTCGCTGACTTGGTTGATGCATGACATCGATCCCAATTGTGTGGATCGATGCTCATGATATTAATCACTGGATTGTCTGGTCCAGACTCGATTATTTACAGACCGCTGTCATATAGCTGGAATATTGCTGAGTGCAGCGTTAAACAACAAACCAACTCTGTTAGGTCAGTTATAAAAATTTAGGACAAAGAGAGGATCATCAGATGTCTTTGAAACTGTGTTACACAACACTACTAATGCTAACAACTCACTTGGGGGATGAGGAGGGGGAGGAGGACTCGTGTGAGGTGGTGGAGCTGTCCTGGGGAGGTGCCTCTGTCGGGATAGTGGAGGCGGTCGACTCATCCTCCTCCTTCACTTCCGACTGACTCCTCTCCTTCTCTGCACTCGCATCTCGATGCCCCTCCACATCCGCCTTTACTTCCTCCAGTTTCTTCCCTTTCTCCTTCTTCTTCACTTTTTTCTTCTTCTCGGTCTTCTCCTCAACCCCTTCACTGTCTGCTAGTCCTGCCTCTTCCTCCTGTTCAGGGTCATTCACCACAGATGTTTCTGAACTTTTCTCAACAGGTGCCTGATCTAAAACTGCATCTTCTTTCTCTCCAATAAATGACTGCATCGGAGATAGGGGAACAGCATCCTGGTCATCAGGGCTGGCAGGCGACTGAGATGGTGAAACAGCAACAGGCTCATCAGTACCTGCAGGCATCAGAGACTGGGGCACAACATCCTCATCAGTATTGGCAAGTTCCTGAGGACAAGATGCAGCAACAGCTTCTTCAGGATTTGCAGAAGACTGAGATTGGACACCTGTGTCAGGTTCATCAGTATTGGCTGTTGTCTGTGGTGGTTCTTCAGGACTGACTTCCTCATCTGGTACTTCTGTTGCATCATCAAACACTTTCTTGGGCGGGATCATTACATCTGCAGGTGGATCCAAATCTACAGGAGCTACATCTGCAGCTCCTTCAACAGACTCTGGCTCCTGTTCAGGAACATCTTGACCTAACATGTCTGAAGCACCAGCTGGTTCATCCCCAGTAGGTATATCTTCCTCACCTGGGCTGCCGAGCCCTTCCTCAGTGTGGACAAGGAGATTCAGTGGGTCATCACATGCACTCACAAACTCCCCTGAAGTGCTAAGGGGATCAATGGATGCACTTTTTGGAATCGTGTCCAACATTTCGGAACTATCTTCCTGTTCCACACTGCCTTCTTCAGCATCACACCATTCATCCTCCAGGGAACCGTTCGACACGTTAGCATCAAGGTTAGCTTTCTCCACGTTCAGTAGCATATCATCTGCTATCTTCACATCATTATTGTTCTCAAACACAGGAGATCGAGGAGGTGAACGAGCCATCGTTGATTTGGACTTAAAGGGATTGATTTCTTCCTCATTACCATCAAATCCATCTGATCGAGGTGGAGAGTTTGCAATCTTCTTACGAGGCTTAAATGGGTCATTAACAGGAGGGGATTGTCCAAGTTTGGTTTTGGATTGAAAAGGATTTGAACCTTCATCAAAGTCTTCAAAGTTAAATGTGTAACTACCCTTAGGTACAGGTAGAGGTGAGCTATGATCTCCAGATGCTGGGTCAGACATTGTGGGAAATGATCATCTCATGAAGAAAAATTTAGAAGGTCTGCTTGAAGTTCCAAATGTCCCGGCTTTTCTGTAACAAAAGATAAACAACTTTATTTGTTTCCCTTATGTAAAAACATGTCTTACAAATTTGATTTCAATGACTGAAAAGTATAATTTCATATTCTGATCATGCTAACCATCCTGACAAGAGCCTACATACATAAATTGATTTACAATTCTTTCAAAGTTAACCTATGGGCTATATTTAACATGGTATATTGAACAATCTTCAGGCGGTTTTCAAACAGATATCGATCAAGCATTTAGAAATCTAAACATTTGCTTAAGAAATGCTTTGATTTTGACAAAACTGAGTTCATCTCATTCTTTCTACCTATATTACCACTGAACACACAAACATTTGAATAAAGTATACCCAACATGTAGGGCTGGGACTTTGAATATGCTCAACAGGGTGTGCAAGAGAAGTTGCAATAGTAGAAAGTTGGTTGGTCGGGTGGTTTGTTGTTTTACACTGCACTGCAATATTCCAGCTATATGACGGCGGTCTGTAAATAATCGAGTCTGGATCAGACAATCCAGTGATTTATATCATGAGCACCGATCAACACAATTGGGATCGATGACATGCTTCAGCGAGTCTAGCCACCAGATCCCGTTTGTCGCCTCTTACAACAAGCAATGTCGCCTTTTACGGCAAGCATTGGCTGCTGAAGACCTATTCTACCCCCAATCTTCACGGGTATAGTAGAAAGTAACATGAAGCATTTACTTGCCAAAATAGCATATGTAGAGTGATGACACAGAACACAGGACAAGTTAAATTAAATTGCTGAAATTTTACTAGATCTCAGGAAACTATTAACAGTAGGCAACCTGAGCGGGGCTTGTGCCATTTTCTATCTCTCTTCAAGCGACATGCACCCCTCACTGCCCATTATGCATCAATAATCCAGCAATGTGTGTGTGATGAAGAAACGCACAATCACTATACAACATATATAATTCTGATAGCTGTTCTTTTACAGATGAATGATGCATCACTGACACGACTGATGGTCATCAACTATCATCAGGCTGATGACACGAGTCAAGAATTGATCATCCAGCCAACAACAGCTGAGGACGGCGTTCAGTATTTCTCATTGACGGTTATTGATTAGAGCCCTGTAATATCTTCACCAATGAAGAGGAACAAAACGGCCACATGTTGCCCCTTTTCTAAAACATATGGGTTTAATCAACAGTTATAAACATGATGGAATTCTGACAGGTCGCACCCAAACATTCCATCACTGTTGATATATTTGACAGCTAGATCGGCATTAGTGGTTCCACTAATTGTAAAAATGTTCGTTGTTTAGATACATCGTGATTGAACGTTATGGCTTACAGTATTCAGGAACTCTCAAATGGCGCTTTTGTTGTCATCGTTGAGGAATTTACCAAAAAAATACAAATCTTCTCTGCATCATTTGATGATTTGTCAGCCACCAGTACGCGAGAGTAATTAAAGGGAGGCAACTCTGTCGGTTGACAACATTGAAGTAGCAGTAAAATCTCCACTTTCCTACCCAGAGTTCCATGCGGCCGGCAGCCAGCTAGCATAGTACCTCTGCCACAGACCAGCGCCATGTGACGATTCGTCACATCTTTCACAGTCCATTCAAGATATTGCATATGCTTTTCATCCGTTTCATGTTTGACAAGTCTACACATTTTCATAAACAAATGTCAAAGAATGGTTAACTTTCATTGAGAAAGTAGGCAAATACGTAAAAATCTACTTGTTTTTGCGTAGTTATCCTATGTTTACATTGGTTGTACGGCTCCACGTGCTGTCATCGAAGCCCAACGGAGAGCTAGCGACACGGTCATTTTGATGCATAAATATATATTGTCATGCAACTCACTGTCGCTGTTGTAGTAGCATATCTATATAGTTATGCAAAACAATTTGTAAAACGCCCCCAAATACTTGCATTAGTCCGTTCTATACTGATTTCTGAAAAAGTGCGTTTGTTTACAAACAAGAGAAAAGTCCGGTCACGTGATATGCAAATTAGCCTGTGGCAGTGGTGTTATGCTGAGTCACCACTGCGACGGAGTGTGTAAAATCTCAACATGTCAAACTTAATTCAGTGAGTATGGTTTTACGCCACTTTTAGCAATATTCCGGCAATATCACGGCGGGGGAAACAAGAAATGGGCTAAACACATTATAACCAGGTAGGGAATAGAACCCGGGACTAGCGAACGCTTTAACGCTTTAACCACAGGGCTGCCCCATCGCCCGTCAAACTACAAAGGACAACCATTTTCTTGGAAGTATAAACGTTTGATCAGGGACTAACGTAGACTTCCTGTTACCACTTTGGTGAAATCCACGAGAACGGGTATGACAAACTTAGAAACATTATCGGGGCTAACCGGGATTCGAACCCACGATCATAGGTTTCTGGTGGCCCAAGGGAGGCAACTCTGCACAGCGAATTGCGGTGCCTCAGACAACCGGGCTACCCGTGCCCATCAATGACATGAGCGTCACACAAAGACGTACATTTTGAAAAAAAGAAAGTCATACGTGTAGCGACGTATGACGCATGACACATGTCTCATCTAACAGTTGTGTTTGGACCTTATCGAGTATATAACTTACGCTCGATAACTTCTACACGTATATAACCAATAGCTTTGATACGTGCTGGTGGGACATACAAATGAATAAATTCTTGGGTATATACTACATTTACGTTTTGTATTTGTATTACTATATCATATTGTATTACACATTAAGTGCCCGGAACAGTTACTGGAGTTTAAATGAATATTACGAGTCACTGGGGGGTAAGTCTGGGCTGTACAGTTAAATCACCCACCCTACAGCCCAGACTTAGCCCCCAGTGACTATTTCCTGTTCCGGCAAATGAAATCTGCCCTACGTGGAAGACGCTTCATAGGCTGCCACAGAGGCGTGGTTAGAGGGCCAATCTGCGGATTTCTATAAAAGTGGTATTAAAAGCTTGAAGGACAAATGGAATAAGTGTATTGGGGTGAATGGAGATTATATTGAAAAATAAAAGTGCAAAAGATATTATGCGACTTGGTCTCATATTGAAGTTGCAAAACTTATTGAACGCCCCTCGTATGTCAGCGAGTGACTGAGTGTACACACGTGGATGCCCCACTCAGACATAGAATACTGACTCCGAGCAGACCAGTCCTTGTTTTAGCCTCTTAATGCGGAGTGCCAGACAGCGTAACATCAAGTACCATCTTTTAAGTTCTGTTGGTATGACGCGTCCGGGCATCGAACCCCAACGATTTACCACTAGATCGCGGAGGCGGTCGTCATTGGTAATGAAAATTGATTTTTTTTAACGACAGCTATGACTTCCTGTGGTTTGTACTGCTTAACGCCGTATTGGTAAGCTTTCAAGCCGAGAAATCCATAGTGACACCGGTATTAATAATGCATGGGAATATATACGTGATATCGTCCCTTAGCAAAGGTGGGCGGTCGGGTAGCTTAGTGGTTAAAGCGTTCGCTCGTCACGCCGAAGACCCGGGTTCGATTCCCGACATGGGTACAATGTGTGAAGCCCAATACCATTCAGTAGTACAAAAGTATTTAATCAGATATTATTTCCGTCTGCTGTAAAGTTGTGTAAAAAAATGCCCCTATCAATTAGTGAGTCCAGTACTCAAGGTATTTCAAAACCAAAACCAAAGTACAAACCTTTAAAGCAATCTCAAGCTGCATAGATGACATCAGATACTGGATGAGAAGCAACCTTCTCAAACTTAACGATGACAAACCTGAGCTCTTGATCATGAGCTCTAAACAGATGCAGTCCAAAGTACGAGTTCCTGGTTTGAAAATTGGGGACTGTACGGTTGAGCAAAACTCTTGTGCCCGAAATCTAGGCGTGATCATTGACTCAACACTCAGTCTGGATAGCCATATAAGCAGTATGTGCAAGACAGCTTACTTTCATATCAGGAACATCAGACAGATAGCAAGATACGTAGATACAGCATCAGTCAAGTGCCTAGTCCATGCATTTGAAACATCAAGACTTGACTATTGTAATAGTCTTCTGTGTGGTATCCAGCAACATCATCTGGATAGACTCAGCATGTGCATCACACTGCTGCCAGATTCATCACACGGAAGTCAATGCGTGAACACATTACACCCGTCCTGAAAGAGCTGTACTGGCTACCTGTGAGACTCAGGATCGTGTTCAAGCTGATCATGTTTGTCTACAAATCAATCCATGCCCTTTACCAACCTGGACGAACACTGAGATCTGCAAACCAACTACAGCTTGCTGTTCCACCAACCAGCAGAACAACAAATGGCGACAGATCCTTCCGAAAAGCAGGTGCAACTCTATTGAATGCACTGCCCATTGATGTCAGGGGATCCGCAGATGTTAACACCTTTAGATCAAAACTCAAGACCATCCTCTTCAAAAGAGCATACGACTGAGCGCTCTTGAGCAGGCAGTATGTCTGGATAGGTAGCGCTATATAAATGCTTAATTCGAATTTGAATTGAATTAAATGTTTGCCTTCTTATTTTCCCTGTGGTTTAAGGAAGTACACTATGGTGGGAATATTGTTAAAAGAGGCGATAAATGTTTCAATGCTAATACTCATATTAGTCGTTATTATTGATAGGGGTAGCATATTAAACATTATGGAGTAAAAGTAACCAAACAAATGCAACGACGTCAATTGAAGAGGGAGTTAAAATTTAACGTCGCGTCTGCATCATGCAGCCATATAGCGACGAGAACAAGTTAAAATAAACACAAGTTAGTCATGAATGCAAAGTAATATTTATAAACAAATTTGTCAAACAGTTTAAAACACGGTGCTAGTAGGCCACCAGTACCCAAAGCTAGGCCACCTCGCTAGGTATCATGGGGATTTAAGGTACAAGTTCCTGCACGATACCCCAGCAGGATTTACGTCATCACTTTAGCTACTGGTGGTTGTGCACAATACTAGCCAATATTAAAAAAACTCCCAGAATGAGTTGGCTTAAAACACTGGTTGATGATAGTTACATCGATTGTGATTGGAATTACGTGTCACACAGGGGACAATCATTTACGTCATGGATAGAGCCTTCAGTAATGTCAGTTGGTAAAAGCATCCATCAAATCGAAACATAAGTAATTAATTATTCACATACAAATTAAAAACATACCAATTTCTTTCAAGTGACTTAAGATGAGATGCCCGCTTACACGGGAAAAGAGATCTTTCTGGTTTACTGTTTGATCATGTGAATCCCTTGCAAGTCCACACAGTCAAGCAATATATGCTTAACGGCGAACCTTTCATCACAAGGGATACACTCAGGAGGTTCGCCCTCATCTGTATATTCGTGGGTAAACCGACTGTGGCCAATACGACATCGTCGTAAAGCGACCTCATCATGTCTTGACTGACAACCCAAGTTGGTATGACCGATTGTTGGGTTAAATTCCCAACCGGGTGTCGCACCTCCTTTGCATGAGATCCCGAGTATAACTTTTGATGGTTGGTTGGAAATGGCTGTGCGGGATAAGGAGTGGAGATAACGGTTTGTCAAAGCACCGGCTTTTGGGTTACCATCAGACGACGATGTCACATTGGCCAGTAGAAAGATCAGTATATAGTTCTAAAATGTTTTAGACTGACTGACTGACTGAGTATGGTTTTACGCCGCTTTTAGCAATATTCCAGCAATATCACGGCGGGGGACACCAGAAATGGGCTTCACACATTGTACCCATGTCGGGAATCGAACCCGGGACTTCGGCGTGACGAGCGAACGATTTAAGTACTAGGCTACCCGACCGCCCCAAAATGTTTTTGATGATAGGTCGATATGACGAGACACTTTTAAATGCCTGAAGGCAAGACAATGAATCTGAAAAGATGACATTTTTGTTGTTGGTTTTGTTGTGTAACATAGGTCAAAGCTGTTAAAATAGCTTTGGCCTCAGCAGTGAAAATTGAACTATTATCTGGGATTCTTGTGACAGTGGCACTTCTGGATCTAGTGACAGTGGCACTTACAACTTTGCCACCATCCTTCGACCCATCTGTAAAAATGAGAATTATATTGGTTTTTATTCTTGTTGATATACGAAAGGATGTGTTTCGGACGTTTTTTAACTTGGTGAGAGTGAAGTCTACCTCTGCTTTCACCATCAGCCAGGGAGAGGGCAGAAGTAGGTAGGGTGATGTTACATTTAGATCTATTTTAGCTGCAGTGATGTATGGTTAAATTCTGATTCCAAGTAGTGGAACCAGGTTTAACAGATTTCGAAACAGGTTTTCATACTGAGCGTTGAAAACGCAATTGTATGCTGGGTTTGATGATTGATAGGAATGCAGTTCAGTGATGTATTGCTGTGATAGTTTAATGCGGCGTTGTTCGAGGGAAGGTTCATAAGCTTCTACATACAAACTGTCCACAAGAGAGGTCCTAAAAGCTGCAAGAACAAGCCGTAGGTCTTGGTG